AATGTCCGAAACAGAACAATGCACCAGAATCAAGTACTTAAATAGTGGGAATTCACTAATTTTTCCATTGAAGTAAAAGATGCAACAAAATATCATCCCTGAATTAACTGATATAATGAATATGTTTAATAATAAGTTTTTAATCCCAAAAAAATCCTACCAATATGCGCTCTTTCTTCTTTATAAACAAATAATTGTCATTTGCGCTTGTTTACACATTAATAGTTTATTAGTCTTTTTCACTATTGAAAATTGAAAGTAAATTCAAATGTTTGTTTAATAGTATTTTGTCGATAGATTCGACAACTAATAAGGGAATTCGAAAACAAACATTTTCAATTTTGCTCAATTGAGGAATGATTCATCGTCGAATTTTCCTACTTTTACAATGACCGATGATGACCTTAGTCCATTACCTTAGTCTTTTGAGATTTCACAAAGAATTGAATCATTTCTGAATATTCGGCGAATGCAATAAATGTGTATTCATAAATCTCAGAAAATAATAAGTATGAAGTTATGAAAATTTTCTATGCAAAAATTGAAATTTCTAGAATGAGACATATGATATCAATAGTGAAGCCATAAAATCATTCTATTCAATTTTTTGCCGAATTCATATAAAATGTTACTAATTATTTAACAACTCTAAAATAGATTTTATAAAATTTAATTATTGAACTGGCACAAATGTATAGGTTGTCAAATTAAATTTCTTTTATTTGTTTAGTTATGATTACTTTCTGATTTATTTTAACTTCATATTTTTTATAACAAAATAAATTTCAAATATATGTTGAACTCAGACAGAAGATTGAATGTAATCTTAGAACAAAATTTCAAATGACAAATTATATTAAGAAATTATCGAAAGATTTGAATAAATTTTCAAATGACAAATAATTTGTGAGGATTACAATGAATATAATAAACGATTGGAAGAGTATCGATCTGTTGAAATTTTCATTTCAAAAATTGACAGACATATCCTTTAGGTTGATGAATGAAAGGTTTTCAAAGGTTCTCTTTTAATTGTCTGAAAAAGAAAAATTTTTCAGTGGGAAATATTTCTTTCAATTTTGAAATTCATAATAGAAAAACAAAAAAATGCTCAAATAACATTGGAACAATTATGATATAATTATGATATAAAAATTTATGATATCAAAAAAAGCAATCAGAATTTATAATGCAAAATTCCATTCATACTGATTCATTTCCGCTTCAATTTAATAAATAAATAATCATTAGATAGGTAGAAATATTGTGTTAAGAATACTGATAACATATGAATACTGATAAAGTGTAAGATTATAACAATAAGCCAACTCTAAATGAGCAAATAGGGAAAATTAGAATTTTTAAAGCTAATTTTAAGGTTTTTCCCTTTCAAACTTGTAGATATCTTTTAATTTTACAAAAACTATAAACCCACGAAGATGTATTTTAAAAGAGAAGAAAAAGTTTCGAAAAAAAAAGAAAAAATAATTTACTACAGATTTGTTTATCTGTTTAAGAAGAAAAAAAACAGAAATTTACAGTACGATAAATGGTATTGATAAGTATTCGAAATAGAAAATATTGCCTTTTTATGATTTGATAAGGATTAGATGACTAAGTGAGAAAGAATTCGATTATGAAATTTAGATAAAAACTACTGATATAAGCGAGAAGATCAATTGAAGAGATATTAGGAATGAACAAGTTCAATGTGGGAAGTTAATATTAAAATATGCCATACAACCTTTTTATGATCACAAAAATTAAATAAAACTGAAATTCAAACATCCGAAAATCAAAACTAAATTAAATCCTAAAACTAAATATTTGATGAGGTTTGGGAATCATCAGAAAACGAGAAGATATCTAGTTTGATTATGGTCATTAATTTTTTAATTGCATTAAACAAATATTTGCGATAATTTTCAATAATTATTTTCATTTCCTAATTTTTAACTTTGAAATAGAATTGAACTAAATAGCCAAAGTAAAGTTAATAGGCCAACTATAATTGGTGACAAAATTTCGAATTCATCGATATTTTCCCAGCCCTACACTCCTTATAGAAAATGGGAGTGAAAATTTCATCTATGGTTATGACTGATAGGAATATTTTTTTTTTTAAGAATTTCGGGAAATTAAAATTTCCAAATTGAATTTTCCATTTTCTTAAAGATACTTAGCTTTACAGCTAAAAACCCTTACTTGGCTTTTTTTTTTGGCAAACAAATATTATTAATTCAGTTAAAAAATTTGAGTTATAAAGTGATTCATCCTTTTCCGGAATTGATAATGATCATAATGCCTTTCTCCCATATCATATGTTATCATTTGCAATGCAAATTTTTATCTTTCAATTGATATTTTATAAGCGAGCATATGTTTATGTTGAATGAAAAAATTTTTATAACACCAAATGGGGCTGACATTGAAATATTATAAATTCAAGAATGCAATTAGAAGGAAGGAAGGAAGGACATTATAGAAAATTGAAATAACAAAGGATTTAAGAAAGAAGGAAAGGGTTTTGTTCAAATTCTGACTGTAATGGATAAATGAAAATGTACTCTTGACCGCATTTATGGGTTTCCATTCCATCTCTCTCAATGGTACTTATACTTTTCTAATAAAAGATGTTCTAATGTAATGAACCATTTTTGAGTAATACTATAAAGATCATGGATTAACAGGAAAAGAAAGAAATAAATGAAAAGTTTCTCAAATGTCATAAATTACTCTAATTGGGAATTATGGATAACGTCGAGTTGTTTCTTCAGATTTAAAGGATAATATGAAAATGGATATATGAATAGATGGATGGATGGATGGATGGATGGTTGGATCGATGGATAGATGGATGGATAGGTGGATGAATGGATGGATGGATAGGTTTAATTGTGATAACTAAAGTAAATATGCAAATATCCTTCTCGTTATGTATGATGTAATTATGAGTGTTTATATGATAATTAATGAGATGGAAAGAATGAATATAAATTTATAAGAAAAAAAAGGTACAATATTGTTAGATGGCATTGATTGTCAAATAAAGTTTAATCAAAGAAATGCTATAATTGAATGATTCAAATAAAGCTATTTGCATTGAAAGAGTAATGCATTAAATCGGTAATGAGTCAACAGTAATAAACAAAATCCAAAACAAAGGTAAGAATTAATTAATTAATTAATTAATATATGGAACGAAACATTCATATCATTCATTTACTTTCATCCTCCGCTTTTATTGTACCTTTAAAGCCTTGGACATTTTGCTTACTTCAATTTATGATTCGATCAAAGCTTGGATTAAATCCCACTCACAACAGTGAATGGTCATTCAGGCTTCTTGCAATGTTATTGTTATTTTCATAAAATCAACCAATTTGAATCTTTACCAATTCAAGTAATATGACATAATTGACTATATGAGTAATTGTGATAGGTCAAGGATAGATTACCATCATCATCATCATCAGCTAATACAGCTAATTGTTACCTTGACATAGTTCACAAACTATGACAATGATCGATAAATTAATTAATTGATTGATTGAATGATGGATTTTGAGGAATTAGCTAATGAATTCAACGTAATAATTAGTCTAATATATAGATTGCATGCATTTTTTTTTTTTTTTTGCAATCAATATGCTTGCACATACAGTAGTATAGTGTATAGCAGCGCATATATCATATCATCAGAAATACATTTTATCTTGAAGCTTCAAATATAGTCCGGTTAGTTTCCGGTTGAAAATCATCAGAAATACATTTTATCTTGAAGCTTCAAATATAGTCCGGTTAGTTTCCGGTTGAAAAGCTGAATTAATTCGCATTAATTGGAAATTCAATTCAAGAAATAACAATACCATTTCTTATCAAAGAGTTAAAAATAATGATAAAATTATTGAGTAATGATGAGAAATTATGCAATTATGCCGATAAAGAATGGAAAATTTGAGAGGAATAAATAAGTGAGAAGTGAACGACTGACTGACCTGACTGACTAACTGACTGACTGATTGACTAACTAACTAACTGATTGACTGACTGATTGGTCGATTGAATGACTGAGTGACACAATTGATGTCGAGGTGATCTGTCGAAATGAACGAATAATAGCATCATTAGGGAGTGCGTATAAGTACCCAACAATTACAAAACATACAGATATGTTATAACGGACCTTTTTGACATTTCTTTTGATGAATTTTCCTTCACAATAATTATCAAATGACTAAGTTGACTGACCGACCAATAATTGGTTGATCGATTTAAATAGTTCATAAACTATGAAAGTAATTGATGAATTAATTCAATTGATTAAATGATAGATTGAATGATTAAGAATTCATTTGAATGAAATTCATTTAATTCAGAATATATCATAAGAAATGTTTATTCATTTGATTCTTTTTTGAGCAAAAACAAAAATATCCACAACTTCATTTTCTAATCAAATAATCGAATATACATATAAATTCATTTGTATCATTCTATCTGTGATAATTCTGCAGCTCAAAACTTCGAAATAATTCCTAATCCATTGAGATCGAATCTCATACAGTGTAATGGAATAATTAAAATATTATTTAGAATTCAGTGCGACGTTTCCCTCCTCAAAATGCCATTTTTGTATGTCATCATTATCATTTGTGACAACACTACCACTTAAATACGGAAGAGAGGAGATGAGTTAAAAGAGTGGGTATCTTTCATTTCTAATTAAATATTAACTTAGAAGAAAGGTAGATTTGATAGGATAAAGATTGGAAACTTAAAGATCAATAATCATCAAACAAGTAAGTCTCTTCTTCATCGTATTTTCAATCTTAAGTTGATTACTACTAACAATTTTGTTCAAATTTAAAGTTATGAAGAAAAAAAAAAAATCCGAAAAATTTGATTATACGATTATTCGTTTCACTTGTTAGCTATTGAACAAAAGATTTTTAGGAAAAATGAAATTTAATGAAATTTAAAAATTAATTTATCAAAAGTTAACCTTTCAATTCGTGATTAATACGTATTCGAGCAATAGCATTTGGAGAATATTCCAACAAACGATTGAGAAATTTCAAGCATAAACATATAATTTGTCCTCTTTCAGTTTGTTGAAGTTCACTTGAAATTGGCTCCAAACAATAACTTGCACCAATTAAATCCTAAACAATTTCCAAACTTTAATATATTTAAGGTCAAAGGGTGAGAAGGAAAAAAATAGAAAACGAAATTGAAATGAAATTGAACCTGCCAGCAAGAAAGACATTCAATTGCGAGTTCAAAACCATTTTTACTTTGTATCAATCGATTTAATAAGTTAACTATGTTAGCTGTATCAGCACCTGAAATCGAAATAGACATTTTTATTATTCATAAAATTATTAAATGACTTATGAATAAGATCTGAGCAAAATTGCGCCTGATGTATATGCAAATGCATATCATTAACATGAGTTCATTTTAAATTCATACTTATTAATTCAAACATATAATGAGCCGAATAAGTTAGATAATATAACTGAAGAGGATCTTCAGACCTCCAATTCATTTTTGCCTTGAAAAATTTAATTAACACCTGGTAATTTTACCTGCAATTCAGTTTCATCATTTTTCAACAAAATTTTCTTCACTTATTACATCTTTTTGTTTCGTATAGTATTTAATATTAAACTAAATATCTTTAAGTTAAATTTTATTTTTTTCCACCTCAAGATATCTAACTGGTTGTTATACTAAAATATAAATGCTATGTAAAGAAGGTATGACAATAAAGCGCAGAAATTTTTGTTGAAAAATGGAAAAAATTTAATTACAGGTAGATCAGTTCACCTTTCAAAATAATCAATGAACTTTCATCTCTTGCATATCTATTCAATTATAATTGTCTAATATTTAAATTAGCAAGTGAAATTTTAAAATATTAATTCTTCTGACAGAAAGTATTGTCATTCTTCAATGATACCTTGATGACTATCTCATGATTTAGTAAAAAGTCTTTTGATAGTACCGTAATATCAAAAGTGAGCAATAAATGGAAAGTATATGTATTATTAAAATGATTAAAACAAACATATAAGAATTTCACGATTAGTTTCTATATTGGAGTTGAATTTTTAACTTTTAAACAACAACTGACGAAACTATAATTTATTGAGACAAAACTTCGATAAGAATTTTTTTGTCTTTTCTCTCCATCCTTCAAAATCGCTAAAAGATGACAGTTGAAAAACGATTTTTCAAAATAAACAAAATCACTCAATCTTCTTCATTAGTAAACAACGAATCAATCAAACAGTTAATTATTTAGTTTAATGAAAAGAAAAAATGCTAAATCAATTTTTTGAAAACTTTTTTTTTTTGGTTTCTTTTTTTTTTTTTTTTTTTTTTTTT